AGCAAGGAGAATCGATAAGCAGGACATCTCGGTGATTGAATTGCTGTAGTTAGACGTACTTGACGACTACAGCCAGAACAAATTTGATTAGATAACATTCCGAGGGTTACCGAGACTAAAGTAAGGGGAGGGGCAAATGGGAGAACAAACGCACTAAACGCATTAAGAGGGTATTATAGTGGCGATAGAATTCCCTATGTTGCAATAGAATGGATGGTGATAAGCAGATGATGAAGCAATCAAGGCAACAGAACCTACATGAATATACACAAATAACCCTACAATCTTAAGCCAAGACTATCTAATCCGAAAACAGCGAAAATAAGGTAGGTATTTGGAGCTGCGAAGGCGAATGGGAAGTGTGCGTGGCAGAACAGTCTATATATAGTTAAGCCACCTTTTTTTGCAACGTCTTGCGTATAGGTACATCCCGTGTTTAAATCCCTTTCTCTTACTTCGTTCGTTTTAGGGTATTCTCTCACTTCGTTCGTTTCAGGGTATTTACCGTTCACCTGGAAAAGCATTAATCCTATTTCGGGTACGATCTGACAGACAAAAAGTGTTTGCCTAAGGGGTAAACTGTTTTCGAATTCTACTGTAGAAGCTCGTATTACAGCGATTACACAGGTTGATTTATCAGCGTTGAGATGAGCTTTAATGGGGCCCCCCACTAACGAGCCGTAGGCTCAAATTTTACGCCCAACCCGGCCCATTGCAAGAGTCTAGGTTCTACAATAGAGGGTGGTGGAGATGATATGATTCTCGACAATGAGGAATCAAAGCAAAGAATATCCTCACCACAGGTACCGGCAAAACCGGTTGTTCAGTCTACTTTACCTTCTACGCCCTTAGTTCGGCAACAGGTAACACTATCTAGCTATGAATAAAAGGTTATACATATTCTAAACACCGTACACATGTTCAATAGCTAAATTTATATTCTTTTTATACTTTTAATAGTAGACAAAATCGAATAGTTTCCCCTAATTTCAAAAGGAGGGTCGATCGTACAACCGTAGGTTATGTTATGTGGGTAGCCCAATGGCCATTGAGCCAACGGAATAACTTTGTTCCACCTCCGTCTCTGACACTATCTACCAGTAACGTGCCTCTAACAATACTAATAGACTCGATTGTGTTGTACGCTTAAATCAATAACAACTAGAATATAGTATAAGCAAACAAACTATTTCTAAAAGGATTAAAATACTTATTGATGGGGTTACTAAACAGATTGTTGTTTCGTCTCACATTGTAAGTGTGTAGTGGGACAGATGTCTGCGTTGTAAAAGAACGATCAGCGCAAGTCCTTGCGATACCATACTGTATGAATAGCATCCTTTACTTCTGACTTTGATATAAACATAATTATTTTTAAAAATCTGGAAGCCTAATGAAGTTTTAGTATGTCTTGAACTCAGACAAAGCAAGGGCTATACTACTGGAATTGTAACCAGTAGGATGCTTAGAATAAAGATCCTTAGCATGATTATTTTGTTTACAAAGAAAAATTGAAAGCGCTGCAAAGCAAAGAAGAGAAAAATCTATTGTTATATATCTAGCCTTTTCTTAGTAATTTAAAAAAACAAATAAAATAGTATTATTAGTATAAGAGAGCTATCGATCGCTATAAGGTTATAATTTAAATTGATAAGCCTGTAGCAATATGATACTATTATCAAAACCTGAGGATATGTAACCTACTAATATAATCACTTTAATTTTATAAGTGGCTCATTCGACAAATTTTTTATATTTATACAATGGTGTATATTAGCTAATTATATTGGATAGAAGTGATGGAAATCATAAGCTTATCACCTAGATTTTCAGTTAGTTAATTTTCGTTTCGTATTTAATATTATATTTTGCAGATTATATAATAACAATTTGAAAATCATATCTTCCACTTCCTTTAACCATAGCTTTTATCAGATTCTATAGTAGCTGGATAGACATGTTTAGAAACTGTAGAGCTACACAAGTTCTTTTAGTTTCTTGAAAGATTATCAAAAAAAGTTAAGGACGAATGGTTTTAATTAACTTTGAGTATGTTGACAAGATGGTATTGTGTGATTACTAGTATTCGTTATATAGTTGTGCATCGTATTCTATACTATCACAAAACTCTTCTGAAGATAATTTATATAGCCATCAAATTTTCGAAATGTATCGCTGGTTTTGGAGATATTAAAAGTCTTTATTGTATTCAGGATTTGGTGAAGATAATGCTATTCGAATTCGATCAGATGACAGTCTAGCTAAAGAGAAAGGCCCTCTTATAGATTTCTTTATGTGAAGTTTATTCTCCCTCCCCCCCCCTCCTTCCACAATTTGAATTGATAGTTGATCTTGCTTCTGGAAGCAATTAATAAGGGCTTCAAAGTAGTAAAGACAACTTTGTTTCTAAAATAGAATAGTTCTTATATATAGACTTCAAAAGTTCTTAAAGGTTATTAGTTTATCCCTATAACACTAAGTACATAGTGAACTATACTATCTTTCTGTTATAACTAATCTTAAAAATATATAATATAAATTCTAATATTACTTTTATAATTTCAGATATTATATTATTATATAAAAAACATAAGTCGTAGATCTGTTGTAAATTCAACTTTGTTTAGGTCTTAGGTTACTTCATCTTCTTTTATTCTAAATCTAATTTAACTAATTATTCTGAATAGACTTAAAAAAGTTAAAAATACAAAGCTTATAAAATATTAAAGCTATTGAAGTAAAGACTATTAAATAGAAGAGACTCTTCATTACTACTTTTACTTTTGTTTTATATTAGTTTCCTTAGTTTAAGATTTATTAAGAACTACTCTTAGTAAAATGATAGTTCGAATTAAATGTAGATTATTAAAAAGACTATTTGTAGAATTGAAATAATACTATAAAACTAGACTTTAGATTATATCTATAGTAGCATTGATAAATTGGTAGAAGCTTTTAAAACATTTAGAATAAAAATTATTTTTAAGTTTCTGTTGATTATATTATTATATTTGTTTAGTTTTTAACTTTATAATTAATATTTGAAATTATATTTTAGATTTTTTTAATCATAGCTATATGGTTTCTAAGGCTATAGTAAATCCACAAGTTATAAAGATTTAGTAGTCTAGTAGATTTATTTTAGAAAGAGATAACTTAATTTGTAGGATAGTTGATATAGTAGTCATAGAGATAGTATCTCTGACTATATTAATAGATCAACTATAGATACTTAAGGTAATATTATTAGAGTAACTACAAATTTATTTTTGAAAAGAGTTTATCAAATATTAATCACAAACTAACATCTCAGCTTATTAAAAACAAGGTTGCACACAAGATTTGTAGACTTTTTTAAAAACAAAGGATCTATTTTATAGATGAATATAGTTGATTAGTATTCTTAGGTATTTTTTTAATAACCTTTCTCACACTCTTACCACTGTTGGTAGACCTTGAATTCTTAGTTGTAGACCAACATTAATAAAGCACCAAACCAGCCTACTAATAAGAATATACCTAAGTGCCAATTACATTATCATTCTAATAGATGGTATATTAGAGACAGTACATGGTTCTTTGCCACTGAGTGACCTTCACAGTGAATCCTCTATTAAACAGCTCCATTTGCAATATCTAAACTCCCATAAACGAAGGTGACCATAACAGGTGTGTATAGGGTCCAAGAATAGAGACAACATAGTGGAGTTTCAATTCAGACTGTCTACTTATAATATTAATCTGTTTTGATTATTCCCCACTAATTATTATTACCAGAGTAAACCAAAAAGGGACAGGAAAGAGACAGCACAGTACACAGACCCCATCTTATTTACTACTAATACTCTCCTAGATTTTCTCATTAAAGTCTAAACTAAATAGCTTCTAATTATTAAATATCTTCTTAAATACCAAATATCAAATCTATACAGTTCACAGACACCATCTTTTCTATCCAACAATAGACTCTGAGAAATAGACTAGTTGCTTTAATCCATAATAGTAATAACAAGATCTCCATAGTAGTCAATCTAAGATTTAATAATCTATACATCCAAACTAAATATAAACCTTCTACTTATCAAAAAATTCTAACATTAATTTAAAGAAGCCACTAATATTTTTATAAAAGAAATTATTAATAATCTTAATTAAGATTCTTTTTTTAAAACTAATAATTCAAAAAGTAATATATTTTCTAAAATTTTTATAAAATTAGTAAATATTAACTGAATCTATACTTTCTAAATTATAGTTCTAACTAGATTAAAACCTAGTGCTGAAAAACTCAACAAAAATTTGTTGTAAGATCTTAATAAGATTTAGTTGTGAACAAAGAATAAATTTCTAATAATAAAAAGAAGTATTACTTTAGACAAAAGATTTATCTAATTTAAAGAAAAATATAGTTAATATAAGAATACTCTTTACAAACTTAGCTAATACTACAAAATCTATATTTAACATTTCTTTTAGTGAACACATATTATCTAATACTAACAGTATATTATTAATAGTCTAATCCAACTGAATGATATTGAATGTTAATAAATAGAAAAAATAATTAAGAACTTCCAAAAACCCTTACTTTCCATCCATAAAGAAAGAAGACATCATAATCTAAAACAATCAAAGAAAAGTGTTCTTTTAAATGTAATCAAAAAAGTTAGTTAAATTGTTAAAACTAGATATAAAGAATCCTATTCCAACAAATAAGAGAAGATTGTACTTTTTTGTTATAAACCAGATAATATCTGACTCTCGCAAAGCAATAGCTAGCAGATTGTTCGCTTAGATCCCACCATCTTACAAAAGACCAAGACCTAACAAAGTTTTGATCTAGAAGTAATTAGAGAGTATCAACTTATTATTCTATATTATAGTATTTAAACTCATAAGAATGCTACAATACTACATATAGCTCTATCAAAAGCCAACTATTAGCAAAATCTGCTACTAATTTTCAAATTGGTTACATTTAGACAATTGACTTACACTTCCTATAAAAATGGATTCTCCCAGTCACCATATAGCACCAAAAATAAATAGGCTGCATTTGTAGAACGCAGGTTTACTCCCCAATAATTGGCTAAGATACAAGCTTTGCCATCGGAGGTACAGCTTACCACAATAGCAACCCAACAACCCACAGATCTATTCATAGCAATATTAAACATACAGTAAGATAGACCAACAACTACTTTAAAAATCTATAACAACCCATCAGAATCATAAAAACCATCTATAATCAAATTAAACACTAAAGCCAACCACCAAATACAACAAAGAACTGAACTATTTGAAATATAACGAAAAATCTTTCACACAAAGTCGAGGAATATATTGAAACATTAAGTAACCAAAAATTAACTAAGAATAATATCAATAGCAAATAATACACCTAAATCAACAGTTTTGTTAGTATATCAATAATAATACTCACTCAAACAATAGTCATATGTACCTACACTAGTTCCAATACACAAATCCAACAAAAACACAATCAGAACACCAATACGCCTTTCTAAAACCCAAAAAAAACCTAATTAAATCAAACCACACACCCCACCACCATCTAAACTGAGAATCATCAAATACTTAATCAAAGATAGTTAACAAACAGTAATACTAGACTTCTTATTGCAGATAGAACATTAAGTAACCTCGAAATAATACTCCCCAAGCGAATTTGGATTTCTAAAGATTATAACACAAATATTATATATTGTATATTTGCAGAAGAGCATATACTCCAAAGGTTGACACAAACAAACCAAACAAATAATAGTAGAGTGAAGATCACCACACCAACAATACAAACAATACAATATCTCCTTTCAAATAGCTACTAAAGTTCTCACAGAACTCAACTACCTAAAACTTTGTATGAAGCAGAATAAAATACCAGCAATATAGCCCTAGAACTTTACATCCCAAATACTAAGACATAGTTTCTCATAAATTACAACGAAAACTAAGATAAACAAGAAACCTAAACAATTCAACTTTGAAATCAAGATATAAAAATATAAATAAAAAGAAATCGAACTTACCATACATTCCAAAAGAATAGACATCCATCAAAAAAACCATAGTTACAAAGTCATCAAAATCCTCCTTTGAGCAACTAATAGATTTTCTATAATAGCTAACCTCTCAAAGACAATCACCCATTATATCATTTTTCATATAGCCCCTTCAAACCCTTTCCAATAGATCAAATGGCAATACATCAAACCACCTTTAATAAATTTATACATAAATATTCCAGAAAGCACTAAAGTGAACTACTAAGAACCACCAACAAACTGATAACTACTCAACCTAGACTATACCAAATTACTTAAAGATCAAAGTTTATAATAGTGCAAAAACAACACTATCTAAAAACCCGCTATGTAGACTAAGATCGAGAATCATAACTATTCCAATCTTAATTGTCTTTTACAGCTATACATATTCTTATATAAATACTTTTGTTATATACTTACCATTAGTCAAAACAATAACTATCTACATAAAAGCCGAAATACCCTCATCGCCAATAGTCAACTGTTGATGTGGTTATTAGAATAAGTTTCTTACAACCTAAATATCAACAATAGAATCAAAGAACAAACACAGAACCTAGATCCATAATAAAACAAATTCCCTCTTCACTTCTTATTATAACCTTACAAAAAATAACAGCCCTTCTCTACCCATTATAGAAAAGCTTCAATACTTTATAGTTAAATACTTAAGCCATTTCAAATCGCCCATACTGTGTTCCAGATTTAAACTACTTTCAACAAACAATACAAAACTCTATATATAAACAGTATTAATGCTAAGATAAAAACAAATCAAACCAAAGAAGCCTTTGCATATGATATTGTTGTAGGGGAACAAAGCTTACAAAGCTTTCATATAATTTGAATTTCCTATAAAATAGAACAAGAATAAATATTACCATTTTAAATAAAGTAATTCCTACACAAGTTCTTCCAACTAATTAGTATCCACTAAATTCCATACTTCATTCTCACTAACAAGATCAAACCAAACAGCCATTAGATACAGTAAGAGCCCTAAGAAAGAAAAGAAATCTACTAAAAACTTTATATTCAAACACTCATCTAAAAATAACAAGAAAAGCTTTAAAGTATTACTTAACCCTCAGATTCGAACAAACATAGTTATTTCTTATCTCAAAATATAATGTTAAATAAAAACATCTAGGTATTAAATTTCTTCTTCATATATATCTACAAGTTGTAATTGTTTGAATCAAATTTACAACAAATATTAGTTTCTATCAGACTCACTGTAAGATAATACTACAACTTCCTCTATATTAGAATAGTAACAATCTTACACTACTAACTATATAATTCATTCTCAAACCCTTTCTTACTTTATAACCTCTTTGTAATAATCTCTAACATTCCTCAACTACTACCTTTATAGACAACCATCTAAATATAACAAATAAAATAGAATCAAAAAGAATTACCCTTCCTACAATAAAGTCTATACTTATTCTGTTCCACCCAACTAAAAATATAACACCTACACTATCTAAAACCAACCAGATCAACAACTTAATTAAAACTATATATACCTATATCAGAATACTTAAAAAAGAAGCAGAAATAGACATCAGCTTCAATATCATAATCGGTGTGGCTAATTAAACACTACTAACCAATTATCTCATCATCCCTAGCACATTCACTTCACTACAAACTTCAAACTAGATTGAAAAGACTTTGCAAATCAACAAAACAGACCATACTGTACTACATACCATCCAGAACCCTCCATTACTCACAATTATATGCCTCCTTCTTATAAATAGCATTAGCGCTCTCATGTAGCTAATACACTTCCCAAAGCTCAAAGGAAACTACCTATAGCTAATCAATAAACTCTTTATATAAATAAGCAACACTATAAAACAGATTTAGAGAGCACAAACTCAAAACTAAAACCGAATTAAACCTCTATACTTAAATACTACTACCAGACTGCTAACCACTATCATCAACATATATACCTCTCAAAGTAAAGACTAATCAATAATAGCAATTGTCACAACTACTATCACTAGAACAACACTTTCTATCTATTCAACACTTCTAACAATCTACAAATTCTACAAATTAGAAAAGGTTATAAAAGAAAATAAATATATCAAACATTTTCAAACTACAATCTCAAAATAATATAAAAATTTCAGACTGTAAAAGATCATAATCACATATACCACTAATCATTTAACAATAGTATTAAATTTATACTAGTTTTCAATCCAAGATATCAATCCATACTTTTTATTTAGTTGTAGATTTCAATATTACTGTTTTAGTCTTTATACAATTTTAATCACACACCTCTATCATATAAACTATACTTACCCAAACCCAAATACTAGCAAGATTAGTTATTATATACCAAAAAATACTTTATAAATATAGTAACTTTAAATACCCAATAGACCAAAGATCAACAAAAGACTACTTTTAATGCCATCCTTACACAGGAAATTCTAAAAAAGAAACAAATCACTAGATATCATTTTGATCCCACATAACAACCATATTACATACAAAACAAATTTACAACTTAGAACTGACTTTTTACCTCCACAAACTTCCTCAAATTGACACTAACCCAATAAATGATTTTGGAAATCAACGCATCTACACACATTAGTAAAAAGCTTAACAAAAGTCACCGCAATTAAATCTCTATAAAAATTAATACTATTCTAGTATTTATAAGTTGGTTGTTGAAATAACTAGCCTTATTCATTATTTAACTAAAAAAAAAAAATATCTCCCAAAGTAAAGATTAATATAAAGTTTCTGGACAAAAAAAGTGATTATACTCAAAGATAAGACCCCAGAACTCACCAACAACTTATAGAATTCATATTCCCACATATTCCCTTATCTCTTTATTCTAAAGCAAATTTCAAAGAGCTAGAATATAGCCAAATTAATACTCAATTGCTCTAATTAAAAATTAAGCAAAATTATATAAACTTAAGATATACACATTTCCTTAAAATTCAGTATCAAATAATCCAATTATATATTTTAACTAAGGCACCACTTGATATCTTGAAATACATAAATACCTACTATTGACCACTTAAACCTTTTACTATTCGCAGAGAATATCTCAGTTAGCCATTCAATATAGCACCAAATAATAGTAGAGTTACTAAAAACTCTACCTCCAAGACCAATAAATTTCACCTCCCTAAAATGGAGCAACTAGCAAACAATAATTTAATCTCTTCACAAAAGATCCAAAATACAACTACGCAAACGTCTATTTCGCAAGAACGCCACCCAACACACAACTCATCAGACACACATAATAGTGGTCAACTTAGCAACAATAACCTGATTAACCAAGCCAACTCTTCACTACCATTAAACAACTTAGTCATAAATTCTATCAAGAGAGATAACACCCCAATACTTGATACTAGCTCAGTAGACCAAACAAAAGCTGGATCACACTCAAGTAGTCATAAACACCCTCCTACAACCAGTCATCTATAGAATCAAAATTATTTATCTCCCAGTACCCAAGGTACCACCAAGCCCAAAGAGCCAGAGCTTCTAGCCACCCTTCATCCTTCCAATAATAAGAAGGAAAACAACACTCTTATAAATGATTGGGGAACCCTGTAAGGATCAGCCTTTGTCATTCTCCAATACAAACCTCACAATAAAGTCAAATACAATTCAAATACAAACATAGATATACCAATGCTTCCATAAAAAACATTTCCAAATCATCTCTACAGATCTCCTAGATTAAAGTTAGCCTAGAAAGCAAAGACTAATAATATACCAAGAAAAATGTTGTTAGGATCAACAGAATTACCTCAGAAAAAAAAAAATCCAAATAAAAAGTACAAGTCTAATCCCTATACTTGGTTGAAGATAAAACACAAAATCTTTGTTCTTCAATTCCCAGATCCGATTTCATTCGCTTCTGCAATAACAAACACACTACAGATACAAAGATCAAAGAAGTCTAGAACAAACAAGAAGAACACTATCAACGAATACTCCAAAGTAACACTAGAAGAGACTCTGAAAATTAATCTCCCACCCCTTGCCCATTAGGGTCAACAACAAAGCAATCACTTCCACAAGAGCAAACACAACATCTC